AACGGGGGAAGGGGGCCTGCAGAGCCCCCGGTCCTGACGTCCGAGCAGCCGACTCAGCTTTCCAACACGCAAGAGGAAAACGGAACCTCTCATTATCCAAATAAGCAAGATCATTATGGCACCCCTTCCTTGCCTCCCAACAGACATCTCTCCAAACAGCTCAGGGGCGGGACCGGATCAGAGGACAGAAGCTGCAGAAGGGGTGGGTCCGGGATCAGGACCCATGAGCCCCGAGAGCTGGCTCCACCGTCCCGCCCGGTGTTTCCCAGGGGGACAGAGACACTGGGCGTGTGCAAACGCCGACTATCTCCTGCTGCCATACACGCAGGGCCGTGATCTGCCGGGAAAAGCAGCAGGGAGCACACACACGATTCTTATCTGTCTCTCTGTTCTAGCCTTACTTCTTGCCCTGTGATAAGATTGTATAATTTCCTTCATGATGGACCTATAATTAGTTCTCTTATAAAAGTTGTTTCTAGGCATTTTATAACTTTTGTTGCAATTATGAGTGGATTTTCCCCATTTCTACTTCTAATTAGTCGGCAGAGAGTAAAACTATTGGTTGCTTGTGTGTAAACTATTGATTTTCTTTGTGTCCTATCGCTTCCCCCATCTTCTTATTAACCTAGTGGGTTGTTTTAGTAGACTCTCTTGGACTCTCTTGGTATACCATCACACCATCTGCAAATAAGAGAATTTCTTCTCTTTACCAGCAGTAAGAGTTTATTTTATTTTTGGTGCCTTATTACATTAGTTAAATACTATACAAGATTATGAGTGATGGTGATGATGGGGCATTCCTGCTTCGCATTTGGATAGAATGTGGCTTCAGTGCTTTATCAGTAAATTTAATATCTGGTTTAGATTTTTTTCTCTTTTTGGTAATTTTGTAATTTTAAAGTAATGTCCTTTTATTCCTACAATACTTAAACTTTTTATTTAGCAGATATTTTTAACCTTGGAGAGGAAGACATTTCAAAGCAAAGTAGGAAACTTAGAAACCACAAGGCAAAGAAAGACAGGCTTAAACTCACAAGAATTAAGAGGGGAAAAATGGTTTCCGAATGGCAAAATGCCATATAAAATGTAAAGTCAAGGAGGAAAATATTTTCAACCCATTTAGGACCCCTGACATATCAATAAGAGAAAATCATTTAATAAAAATGAGCAATGGATTTAAAAGAGGAAGCCTAAATAACCAATGAATAATCAAGCTATGAAGAGATATGCAAATGCTCAAATTAAAATAATAAAATATCTTTCTCCACCTAGTATACTTGCCAACATGATAAATGCCAGTACTATTCATGGCAAGCAAGGGTGCAGGAATAAATGAGTAGAAAAGCCGGCAATGCTTTTGGAATATAGTTTGGCAATGTCTATTGAAACTTAAAACACACAAACCTACCCCCTGGAAATGAAAGCATCTTATACCCAGAAGGGTGTTTCAGAACTGCCTGCAGTGTGAAGAGCCAGACACATTTGGAATGTCCACCAATAGGTGAATAATTAAATAGCAATACAGGACATAATGGGGTTTTATTAAGCCATTAAAAACAATACAGCAAAATCTATATCTATTGATCTGGAGGGATGCCCGGGATATTCTTTTAAGTGAAAAAAGCAACATGCGGAGTTATAGTGGTAAGAGCCTATTTTTGTTACTAAAAACAAAGTAAAACATAACCCAATGCCAAGCATGTGTTTATAGGAACAGGGAGAAAGAGAGAGGGGCCTGTTTGAGATGATGGCAAGAGGAGAGATTCTAAGTTTTCATACACTTCTGAATTAATTTATTAAGCTATGTTACCTGTGCTTATGTAATTTAAAATCAACCAACAAAATTTAAAGGAGGACGAAAAGGAACCTGCCTCAGAAACATCAATATGTTTCACCTGATGTTTTGTGGGCTGAAAAGCGCACGGCTTGTATCTATTGATTACCTTCCCTCCTTCCAAAGGGTGGGAGCAAAGAAGCAGGGTGGGCGGGAATAGAGGGAGATGCTGGGAGCCACAGGCACACCAGCCCCAGGGCTGGGAGAAGGGGAGGGAGAGGGAGAGAGGTGGAGAGGGGTGGGTCGGAGAGAATGGGTTGGTATCAGAATCACCGTCTGTACCAGGGAGCAGAGACTGCCCCTGGGGTCCCTGGGAGGAGAGACTCCTCGGCAGAGTGGGGTGATCCTAACTTCCTCCGAGTGTTCCCTGGGGCTGCTCAACAGACCCTGCCCTAGCGGTGCCGCAGGCCCGATGACGGCCTCCCAGGTCTTTCAAACACCCGGAGCAGGTGGGTGTCCATTCACTCAACTAATGACGCCCATCCCATGCCTGTTCGGGAGCCACGGCCCTGCCCACACACAGCTCTCAGTGTCCTGGGGAGACCACAGCCCAGTGCTGGTCCCCGTGCCCACTGGCCTCAGGCTTAGTTTTGGCTGAATGGGGTGCTACGAAGGCTGGGCTTAACAGCCAAGCTTTGACCTGGACCACAGCTGGGCCGATGGTGGGGCTGAGGACGGAGAGAGAAGCACCAGCTGGTTTCCCAGTCGCCAAGATCTGGGAAGGCCTGGCGATGTCCCTGTGCCCACGCCCAGGGCTGCCTGCTGGGAGCTGCCTGCTGGCGGGAGCCGGACCGCGTAGGGAGAACGGCCGGAGAAGGAGCCCAGACGGAGCAGCAGACCCTGGCAGCTCGGGGGGCTGCCTGGAGGCAGGCATGGCCGAGTCCTCCCGGCTGCCACAGACTTGACCATGAAGCCACGTGAAGCCACAGAAGGGCTAGCAGGGGCCTGACCACCTCGAGGGCTCCCCACCCCTTGTCCCTAGACTCAGCACCAGCTATTAGGCTGATTCCCGCCGGCCCAGGCCGTGCTCTCTCTCAGGTGTGCGGGAGCAGCCCGCGGGCCTGAGGGCACGGCCGGTCTGGGGTGGCCACCCTCAGTAAAAAAGCACAGATCCTGGCGTCTGCACAGGCTCATCGGGGAGGACCAGCACAGCCTCCATGATTGGGCTTAGATGCAGGCAGAGACAGTCGGCCTGCCGGTGGCTCTCTGGCTCGCAAACCCCTGACGCTCTTGGCTTCTACTCACTGAATGGCTCTGCCTGTCTCCTGCCTCCTCCACCAGCACCTGTTCCTGTTCTCCCCCTGACTGTGGGTTGCCCCCCAAGTCCAGTCCTGCCCCTCACAGGCACCCCACACATCCCCGGTGCACCCTGCTCCGGGTGGGCGCAGACACCTCCTGAGCCTCCACAGCCTGCCCCGAGCCAGCAGCCTGCGCCCTCCCGCTGCCCCTGGGAGACCCGGAGGCCACCTGCCGAGCAGAAGGGCGGCCTCCTCCGCTGGGCACCGAGAGGATGGCCACGGGCCTGGGAGGGGCCTGGCACGGCCGGCCTAATGCTCTGGGCAGCGGAGGGAGACCGGGTGCGCAGCCTGGCCTCACTTGGAGTGTATGGGCCGCTGCTTCCTCGCCCAACAACCAAAGGCCATCTGTGCCTGTGGCTGCGGAGGCGATGGCGGGTGAGCATGTGTGTGTATGGTACGTGTGTGTGTGCGTGTGCGTGTGTAAGTGTGTGCGTGCGCACGTGTGCACCATCGAGATGCTGCGGCAGGAAGGCGCGGAGGGCCCCCCTCCTCCACCCACTCAGCTGCCTTCTGAACCTGACAGTGTCCAGCAGCTTCTGTTGCCATGGCTGCATCTCTGCCCTTGGCCTGAGGGACTCTGACTCACCCCAACGGGGCTGGAACCAGAGAGCCCAGCTCTGAGAGTGGGAACAACAGCGAGGAAGGCTGGAGGGAGCCGCTTCTCCAACCAATGCCCCCGGCTCCCTCCCTGCAACCTGGCCAGCCACAGCGCCCCCCGCAGGCCAGCCCCAGCCAGTCCTCTCGCTCTGCCTGCCAGTCTCTGCCTGCAGGTGGTCCCTGCGGGGGGGCTTGTCCGTGGCAGTGATGGCGGGAGTGAGAATGCAAACAGCCCAGCAGAACGGGCGGGAAGGCCAGCTGCAGGAGCTGAGTGACGCCAAGGAAAAGATGCCCGGAGAACAGATGCCGGGGTGCTGATTGGGAGGGGATGTTTACCTGATAAATTCTACCTTTTGACAACCTCACAATTTTATAATAAACGTACTTCTGTAACAACCCCCCACCTCCACCCCACACACACACCAAACGATACAAAGATAGGCAGCTGTCAGGTCACCACCCACAGACAGGAGCTCGGGGGCCCTCGAAGCCGCCGAGTGTCTACTTTCTGGGTCCAGAAACCCAGGAAAACCCAGCGTCGGGCTGAGCCCCTCACCCCTCTGGCCTTATCTCCCTCAGGACCCTCAGTCCCGAGTCCTGGGCAGGAGGAGCCAGTCGCCCCAGCTCTGCCCCACGGAGGCCCTTCCTGCTCTCTGGGCCTCCGGCTGCTCATCTATAAAATGGGCTGCTAACCCCCGCCCGGCCCGCTTTCGGAGCCTGCTGTGAGGCCAGGAACTTGGAAAGCACCTCCATGAACGTTGTAGCACCTGCCACACCAGGCCCTTCTCATTACCAGCGGGCGGGGCTCCCTGCTGACAGCACGCCAGGCGCCCACGCCAGGCACCCACGCCAGGCACCCACGCCAGGCACCCACGCCAGGCAGCCACCACGGGGGTACGAGGCCAGCTTCCTCCCTAGGACCAGGGAAGCCAGGAGACCCCTTTATGGAGACACAGGGCGAGGGTTGGGAGGAGACGATCCAGGCCCGCCTCACAAAGACACGTTTTCATACTTTGCCAACAAACATCCCATTTCTGCAAAGACCCAGTGCTGTTCACGGCACCCCCACCCCCACGTTAGCGCCTGTGTGTGACACAGCCCCTCAGGCTGCAAACAGCCACTGTGCTGAGGTCCAGCCACCCACGCGGTGCGGGCGGGGAGCCGGGCCACGCAGAGGGAGGAAACACCAGTCTGAGCCACGTGGAGAGCGTGGCGGGCCGTGGCCGGGTGCCGTGGCCGGATGGCCGACGGCCCGAAGGCCAGGTGCTTACCTCTCCCACGGGCCCACGTGTAGACGCGCGTGGTCTCCGAGCTTCTGGGCTCTTGCTCGGCCGGCTCCAAAGGCAGAGGTCGCAAGTGGGGGTCGTCGGCCCGGCCGGGGGTCTTCAGGGGCAGGATGTACTTGGGGAGACCCTTGAAGAACCAGGCCCCCGACCTCTTCCAGACCTGAGGGGGGAGACGCCGCTTAGAGCCCGGATGCAGAGCAGCTCCCCGCTCCCGGCTCCCACGCACGCCCCCTCCCCTCCTGGTGCAAAGCCGGAATGTTCTCAGAGGTGCCGCCGGCTCCCTCCTGCCTGCCCCTCCCCGGGGCTCTGGCGGCTGGAGGGAGAGGCGGGCTGGGCCAGCAGGCCCGGGAGCTGTCCGGACAGGGATCCGGTGAGACAATCCGGGGCGGGCACACAGAGACAGACACAGCAGAATCCAGAGCAGCCGCGGAGCGAGGCCCCTGCACCCAACGGCTACTCCCTCCGAGGCAGGGGACACGCGTGCCTGTGCAGGGCGGGAGCGTGGAGGGAGCTGTGACCCTCTCGGGCACGAGGAGGCCCTGGCGGCCGAGTCCTGGCTCTGTGGCCCAGCAGCTGTGAGCCCTGGACACACCCGGCCCTGTTCCGTCACCGCAGTTCCGTCACCGCAGTGGGAACAGTGCCGCCTCCCAGGGCGGCCACGAGGCTCAGTCTCGCCAAGGAACGCAGGCCCAGGGCCCCGGGCCGGGCCCCGAGCAGCCACTCCCCAGAGGATGCTCATGGCGGTCACTGCCCCTCCTCCTCTCGTCCGGCAGCTTTACAGCCAGTGGGCCACGTCCCCTCCTCAAAAGGGTGAATTTAAAATGGGAGGGCCAGCCGAAACCGGTGTGGCTCAGTGGGTAGAGCGTTGGTCTGCGGACTGAAGGGTCCCAGGTCCGATTCTGGTCAAGGGCATGTACCTTGGTTGCGGGCACATCTCCAGTTGGGGGGGCGTGCAAGAGGCAGCTGATCGATGATTCTCTCTCATCCATGTTTCTAACTCTCTATCCCTCTCCCTTCCTCTCTGTAAAAAAATCAATAAAAAACAAACATACTATATATATATATATAGAACTTCATGTCGCTTGCTTTTGCCCCCACTTAACTCTATATCGCCACTGCTGTTCTGTTAACAGCAATGGTCCTCGCCATCATGTTTTCGTGGCTCCACAGTGTGGACTTGTTGAATGTCCCCGGACATTTACATTGTTCCCAGTCTCCCACTTAAGTCAGAGCTGCCACCGTCACGTGCACACGCGTCATCACCGGTGTCAGTCACCGCCTGGGACATCCCAGGGCGTGGACTGACGGCCAGGTCAAGGCATGTGAACATGAGGTGATGATGCATGTTTTTTCCTCCAGGAAGAAAAGCCGAGTCCCCTTTGCTGGTGGGGACCCCCCCCCCCCCCCCCCCCTGCGAGTCCACAGAGCAGGAGCTGTCACTATCAGGAGAAGCTGTGTGAGGCTGCAGAGCCCCCCTGCTCCCCACGTGCGGTTTGCCGTGATAAGGCCAGCAAAGCAGCCGGCTCTGCAAATGCCCCTCACAGCCGCCATGGCCCTCGCCGGGGGCGGCCGGTGGCATCAAACCCTCCCGGTGGCACCGCTGTGGGCTCCGCTTCCAGGCTGTCATTACCATTTCAGGCCCGGCCAGCCCGGCTGCAGACACCGGCGGATACTCGCCAAGCCGCTCCCAGGGAATTTTAATTACCACGATAACCATCGCTAATCACCGGCATTTCCTAAACGGCCGAGCCGGAGAAGGTGGTAATTGCCAGGCCCTGTTGGAAAGAAGGGGAGGCCTGGGGGACCGGCCACGGGGGCGGCTGACCTGTGTCCCTGTCCAACCCTCGTGTGCGTTGCCACCTCTCCCGTCTCCTGCGCTGAGGCCGGCACCTGTGTGAGTGCGGGCCCAGGCTCCCCACCCCTCACTCTACAGGCCGGAACAGGGGCCAGTCTGTGGCCTCTGCACAGCTGTCCCTTCCCCCGGAGTGCCCTTCATCCTGTCTCCATCACAGCGGCACTGCCCCCAGGAAGCCTCTGTGCCACCTGGTGCAGACGCGGGGCCTGGCAGTGCCCTGGGCCCACGTGGCACCGCCATGGAGCGCCTCCCCAGCCAGGAGGTGCCAGCTCCTCAAGGACAGGGCTGCACCAGAGCCAGCCCCGCAGTCCCAGGACCAGCTGGGAGCCGGCACCTGGCAGGAATGTGACTGACTGACTGACTGACAGCACACGGAGAAGGCACTGCAAGCAGCCGTCCCCGGGGACAGAACGTGCGGCTCGTCTTCAGGGAGACTGCGCTCAGTCTGCCTGCCAAGCCCCAGGCTGCCCGGGCTTGAAACGCCCGGGAAATGGCATGTTACAGCGGGGTCTTCTTGCTTATGGTTTGGTCTCTTTAAAAAAGAGCCTCTTCATGGGTCAACCCACCTTGTCAGAGAGGCAGCATGACCCTCCCTACCCCATTACCTGAACACGAGAGAGAGAGAGAGAGAGAGAGAAAGAGAGAGAGAGAGAGGACGAACGCAAGCGTGAGCTGGCCTCCTAGCAGCATGGCCAAGAAGACCCCAGAACTCAGCCAGGTCCTCATTTAATCACAGAGCTAACAAATAATAAAAGCTAAAAAACAATAGAAGTATACACATTAGGAGAGGGAAGAAGTGGAGTCCAAGCTAGCCAGTTCCTCGCCGTTCAGGTCACCTGAAGTCTGAGAAGGGCTGGAGTCCCTGGCCGTCCTCCACCCCCCCCCCCCCCCCCCCCCCCGAGCTCTGCAGTCAGGGCTGCTCTGCTCTGGGCTGGCGTCTGTCTGCGGTGCAGGCACCAGTTGCCACCAAGGGCTTTGAGAAGCGCAGGGCCCGGCGGGCAGAGCTCCCTCCCAGCTGAGGGGTTCTGCTTCCCACTCATCCCTTCTACCTGCCAACTCAGAACCCAGGTGTTAGCGGACAGACAGCCAACGGAGGCCCCTCCAGGGAGCATCTGGGCATTTGCATGTTAATGACTATCACTGAGACCCTCAGGGTGTGTGTGTGTGTGTGTGTCTGTGTGTGTGTGTGTGTGTCTGTGTGTGTGTGTGTGTCTGTGTCAGAGCCAGGAGAAGGGCTGGAAACGAAGCCCCAGCAGACAGGGGGCCCCTCAGCCTCTTCTCCCAGCCCCCCAGGCGGCAGCTCTGGCTCAGCCCGAGAGCATGATGGACGCGCCCTCACCAGAGCCTGAGCGAATTTCCTCTCCGTTTCAAGTGGGTTTTCGAGCAGGTGGGTCAGGCCGGGAGGCAGGCAATTGCCAGCACAGAGGGAAGGAAAAAAGGCAGCGAGGAAAGCACTCTGCGGGCGCTGTGTTCTGACGGATAATTAAACACACTGGCAGACTGCTTCAGAACCAGAAGGACCGCCCTGGCTTCCTGAGCCTGGACCTGCCCGGCTTCTGCACCCTGACCACTGAGCAGCACTTGCAGCTTCAGAGGAGGTGCCGTTCGGCGACGGCGATGGCTCTCGGATGGCTCTCCGGACTGCGGGCTGTGGCCCGGGGTCAGGGACAGCCTCCAGTGCGCAGGCCAGCCTCCACCCTGGCCTCAGCCCCTCATCGTGCCCACTCCAGGGCCTGTGCCCAGGGGCGCCACCCCTCCTTGCATTACCTACGGGCCTCTGCCCACATGCCATCTTCTCCCTTTGCCCAGAGCAGTCCGGCAAGGCCCACAGGCCGTGCAGGCTGAGGGCGCTTCCCCACTGCTCCTCATCGCTCGCTCTGTCCACACCGCTCATCTGCATGCAGCACGGAATCCCTGTGAGTCCCAGCTACTCAGCGCGGCCCCTGCTCCGCACACATCTGGGCGGGAGGCGTGCTCGGCGATCCTGGCCGCCGGGCTGGCCCCCGCTCCCAGCTGGAGTGGGCTGCACAGGAAATGAACGGGGCTGGATGGGAACGTCAGACAGGCCAATTATCCCGGCCAGGTCTTTTCAGAAGAGCTTTGTGATTCTGATTCAATTCCCAGGACAACAAACAGCCTCTATTGAAACTCAGTCTCTGCAATGTATTCCAGAGCCAACTCGAAACCAATTCGGGACTGGCAGTGGCGTGCGGGAGCCAGACACCAGGAGTGGGGGCACGTTCCCGATAGGCCGAGGGCTCCGTTCAGGTCCGAGCACCTCCCCCCGATCTCTGCTCCCCAAGGAGCCTCGGGGAGCCACCGGCCCTGCCCACGCCAGCTCAGGGGAGCCCAACCCCACTCGGGGGAAGTGGGGAGCCTACCATCCCGGGCTGCTCCGGCCCCAGAGTCCCTGGCCTCCCCACTACCCCCCCTCAGGCACAGCCCACCTTCTCACGTCTTAAACATTTACCTTTATTGTTTTTGGAGAGGAAGGAGAGGGAGAGAGAGAAACATCAATGATGAGAGAGAATCATTGATTGGCTGCCCCCAACCAAATGAGCCCTGGGCATGTGCCCTGACTGGGAATCCACCCGTGACCTCCGGGTTCACGGCTGATGCTCAGCCACGGAGCCGTGCTGGGCGGGCAGGATGCTCCCCTTTAAAATGGTGGTGGAACGTACACAACCCAGCATGCGGCCTTGGAGCCGTTTTTCGAGGGCAGTCCAGGGGCACGAAGGACGGGCACCGTGAGGGGCTACTGTCCCCACCGCCCGTCTCCGGCCCGTGTCCGCCTCTCCACACGGACACCGTGTCCGCCTCTCCACACGGACACCGTGTCCGTCTCTCCACACAAACACCGTGACCGCCTCTCCACACGGACACCGTGACCGCCTCTCCACACAAACACTGTGACCGCCTCTCCACACGGACACCGTGTCCGCCTCTCCACACGGACACCGTGACCGCCTCTCCACACGGACACCGTGTCCGCCTCTCCACACGGACACCGTGTCCGCCTCTCCACACGGACACCGTGACCGTCTTTCCACACGGACACCGTGACCGCCTCTCCACACGGACACCGTGTCCGCCTCTCCACACGGACACCGTGTCCGCCTCTCCACACGGAAACCATGTCCATCTTTCCACACGGACACCGTGACCGCCTCTCCACACGGACACCGTGTCCGCCTCTCCACACGGACACCGTGTCCGCCTCTCCACACGGACACCGTGTCCACCTCTCCACACGGACACCGTGTCCGTCTCTCCACACGGACACCGTGTCCGTCTTTCCACACGGA